CAAATGAAACTTAACTAACACAGTGGAAAGTCTGTTAAAGTATTTTTCATCACCGCCACCGGAGTATGTTTTATTTATTTCATTACAGCACGTCCCCTAGACGTTAAGACATTGTCGACATGAGTGAACACAGCATCGAGCAGTGGAAACATGAGTTTATTTACTACTATGAAGTTCGTATCTAATTGTTGAAATGAAATCCGCGGTGACTGGCTAATTGTTGTGGTAGTGGCTAAACTAGCATGTCGCGATACTGTGCACAGAGGAACACGTCTGCGCGGAGTAGATGCGCAGAGGGTTGAAACAGCGCTTGCCTGGTCTGCTGACAGCGAAGTTACTTTTGCTAGTTACTGTGATTTTAAACACGAGTTGTTGTTCACAATGTATCGTTTTTCATNGGTTGAAACAGCGCCTGCCTGGTCTGCTGACAGCGAAGTTACTTTTGCTAGTTACTGTGATTTTAAACACGAGTTGTTGTTCACAATGTATCGTTTTTCATGGGAAAAATGAGCTGCGTCCCTGGGACGCATGGATAGTGAGTTTGCTGCGTCCTTTCAGATTTCAATGCGTCAGGGACGCAGGACGCGTACCTTGCAACATCACTGAATAAATATAACCAAATCATCATATCAACAGTAAGTTAAAGTTGAAGGATTGGAATTCGAGTAGAGGATGGCAATGTTCACACTTATGCATTAAACACACCAGTATATACTTAAAGACATTTATTTATAATGGAAGAGAGTAAAAACACATTGTCTAATCTAGTATATACAGGTGTAGGTGTGTGTGTGTGTGTGTGTGTGTGTGTGTGTGTGTGTGTGTGTGTGTGTGTGTGTGTGTGTGTGGGTGGGGGGGGTGTGTGGGGGGACACAGAGAAANACAGACAAAGGCAAGATTCAAAGTGGTCACTGTGACCACATGACAAAGAAACTATTCAAAATAGTCTATGAAGGTTGGAAATTCCGGGATTTAAAAAAGAGTTTGTCTGACTTTTTTTAGTTAGAGTGCGCAGTTAGCTCCAGTTAGTGAGTGGAGCTGTGCTTAAAGACAGCAGACATCGCTGAAGATGTAGTAAATATCACAACCCTCTACACTGAAGTTACAACAACACTACACCGAGTGAGCGAGAGAGAGGGAGAGGGAGAGAAGCTAGTGCTAACTGCAAAGCTTAAGTAACTAGCAGATCTGAACAACATGTAAAAAAACTGCTGTTAGTGAAAGTCGCTTAAAGGAGTAGAGAGCTCTGAGTGCTGGAGCAGAACTAGTGTAACTTTAAATGTACAGCAGGTAGTTAGACACTGTTATNCTAGAAAATTCCTGGAGAAATTTTGAATGTGCCTGCTGCTCGATGCATGTACCTCACTCTTCAGGTTTCAATCTGCATAAAGGACGTTACTTTCAGTTTCATTCATGGCGTAGAGACTTATCCTGACACTGACCTCAGTCCCTGCAGGTATCCATCAAAAAGCCTTTAGATTCTGTCACGACTGACCAAAATAACCTCACACTGATGGTTTCAAACTCAAATTTGTTCAACAACCATAGCAAGACACGTATACACACATGTACATGCCCTTACATTGGTTGAGCTGCAATAAAATGGTGTTTGTGTGTTTATGTCAATATGTGTGTGTGTGTGTTGGGTCTTAGCTCTGCCTCATGAGCTGGACACCATAAATGTTGGATCTTCGGTTGTCTATTAATTTAAATCATAAATTAAGAAAATATTAACATTAAATAATAACTTTAAAATTAATTAAAGTCCTCGGGCGCACCAGCCTAAACTAATAGGCAAAATAGCCATTATTGTTTGAGTCTCAATTTATTTCTATTAGTCTGGAACTCTGATTAATAATTAGAGTCCCCAGGACCCACAGGTGGTGATTTGAGTGGGTCCCTGGGAAACTCAATGGGTCCCAAATAAATTTTTTTTATTTCTTATATTCTTTTATTTCTTAAATTGTAGTGTTAAACTCCTTTGATGGTGGTATGATATGGTTATAATTAACGGATATATTCATGTATGTTCAAAATGTATCTGAAATTAAACAAATAAGATTCCAAATCTGAAAAGTTTATTGCAAAACAACTGTCACAGCGGCATGACATACAAAATTCAAATAAAATAGCCTTTTATTAGCAACATAAATAGCACCAAAATAAATTACTAAAATTCAAATGAAAACAAAATGTGTCTGTAGTACCAAAATAAATTATCAATAAAAGTGCTGATTTTAACACATAAACAAAACATTCTCATCACCATGACAGAGTCAACAAATAAATTGTCACCAAAATAAGACCAAAATCTTTTTGTCTGAACATCAACTAAATCAAATGAACTGAGTCAATCACTGTGAAACTTTTAGCACACAAATGAAACTTAACTAACACAGTGGAAAGTCTGTTAAAGTATTTTTCATCACCGCCACCGGAGTATGTTTTATTTATTTCATTACAGCACGTCCCC